ATTGTTAAGCTAGGGTTCACTATGAATAACAAACTAAGAGAATCACAATCAAAACCAATCGATAATTGCAATTCCTAAATCAATTGTTCATGTCATTAGCAATTACAATGCAATCTAGCATAATTCTCAAGGCCTAATTAAAATACACACATGCAAACCTTCACTAATCACTTTAATCTCAACAATCAACCAACACAATTCCAAAATTAATCACTATTAAGGAATCATCATCTATCAACTAACAACTATGGAAATCAAGAATCAACAAAATATCAAGAACAATTACACTAATCAAGAATCAAACATCAAAATTAAACCAAACAAACATGAAATTAAACAAAGCATTAAGGATAGATAGTGTTAAGAATGCTCATTGATAATAGAGAAGATCTTGAACACAATTGTCACCCTTGTATCTTCAAACTCTCAATCACCATTAAAATCCTTCATTTTCTCTCTCTAAAACTACTCCTAATCTAGCCTAATCTAGAGACAGAAGCTCTCACCCTAAGAGAGAAACTATTCTAAGACTAAGAATTATGTGAATGAATGATAATAAAACCCCCCAAAACAATATATAAACAAAAGGAGAAAAGAAACTTAAAATCGTAAAAGACCCAGAAGTCCGCGCCCTCGGAGAAATCGGCCGCGCCCGCGGACACCCCGAAAGCCGCGCCTGCGAACACCTCGTAAGCCGCGCCCGCGGCCAAAGCCCGCGTCCACGGGGAGCCCGCAGGGAGCCCGCGAAGAGTTACTGCCCAAAATGGCAGATATGGGTTACGGAAGATTTGCAGGGAAAACTTTGGAAGGCTATAAATCACGATCTAAGCATTGTATGAAAGCGTACTACCTATCATTGGAAAGCTATTCAAGTCTAGTATATAACCCAACTTCAATCAACTCAATCCGATCTGTATAACTCGAGATATGGACGAAACAATGCACAAAGGTCCTTTTTGATACTTTGTAAGCATTCATTTTCCTTTGTTTCTTGGATTGGCTTCACTTGCGTGCTTGGCTTCCCTAACTTGGCTCCGTTAAATTCCTTGAATTCACTCGAGCTCCCTCCTTGATGATTAAATCTCGGGAAGCTCGACACACCTACAAAACATGTTAAACAAACGGAGAAGCGAGGGAAAAAGCCGAGAAATGAATAAAATAATAAGAAAACCACTAAAAGCACGCATTTCTCTAAACTAACACACAAACACGCAAATTAAGCATTATTCCCTAAAAACACAACATAAACGAATAAAAAAGAGCATAGAAATATAGAGAAAACATAGCCTAAAGGTGCCATAAATGGCACGGATCAATTGTGTAGATTGGCTCGATGGTAGATCCCCACATGTTCTCTTCATCATTATCATGGTTAATTTCCAAAAGTGATTGGTCATTTATAGCTATTTTGAGTGGATAAGCATGAATAATCATAGGAAGCCCTTGATAGTTCAATCTAATCATTTGATGAAGTGAGGATGGTATTGCTCCAAGCTCATGTATCCAAGGACGTCAAAGTAGAAGGTTAAATGTAGGTTTAATGTCCATAACGCAAAATTCAACCATATTTTGAATTGGGCCTGTGGTGATTGGTAGCTTAACAGTTCCACACACCGATCATCTCGAGTTGTCTTAGGCCCTAATGCTTTGTGTTGTTGAATGAAAATCTTTTTCTTGATTAAGGCTTAGATATTTTGTTGTTCGTAATGGGCACACATTTACAGCCGACCAATTGTCTAGTAAAGTAAGAGGGATATTGTATCCCTTGCACCCCATAGTTACGTATAATGCATTGTTATGGATAGTGTCTTTTGAAGGCAAATCATCATCAGTAAAAATGATTGATTTGTCTGATTTGTCGTTAGTAACCAAGCTAACAAGATCCTAAGGGGTTGTGTCTGTACTTATAGACAAAGCCGTTAGAGCTTTCATAAGAGAATTCCTATGTTCTTTATAAGTACTTAGGAGTTCCCAAATGCTAACATTCGCCTTGGATTGGCAAAGTTGTTTAGAGAATGGATCATCCACCTCGAGTGGAGGTGGTATTGGATTTTGTACTTGACCTTGAATTTGATTTTGTGTGGTCAAAGATCCATTTTGTGGTGCTTGGTAAACTCACCCAGAACGAGTGAGATTGTCCATCTCATTTGGGTTAGTTGTAGGACTTATGAACAACCTTTTTTCGAGAGGCTTTGAAGATGCCTCCATTTCAAGATTTTCCATGAGTTGTGCTTGATGCCATTGTTCATCCAAGGAGATATTTAATAAGTCTTGTGACTTCCCCATGAAATGATCCCAATCAAGCGCTCCATTTGTCTCATTTTTTAAACAAGATGGAGGTGGGACGACGGCATACTTAGAGACATATAGGTCTTGTAAGTCAAAATTCCACATACTTCATTAGTTTCCCCTATGAGTATTGTGGTTAGAGGTTTTCCTATAAGTGTGATATAGTCCAAAGTATTGAACATATAACTTCCCATATGGTCCTCATTAATATAAAACACCCCTAATGGGGATGCATTATTGTTATGTTTAGGCGTGGGAATTCTCCCATCATCTACTAAATCTTATATTTTGTGTTTTAAGATGTAGCAACGTTCAATATCATGCCTAACGCCTCTATGATAAGCACAATAAGCATTACCATCCTAATTCGCAAATCTTTTTTCTGGTGGAGTGGGTGGTGTTGGCCCTGTTGGTGCAAGTAAACCTTTTTCACTCAATTTTTCTAATAATTCTTTATATCTTACAGGAAATGGTGTAATTTTTTTTTCTTTTGTCCATCTTTTTCGTGGATCATTATTGTTATTATATTGCGTGGATGTCGCAAACACATCAATAGAGGATTAAGTATTATCATTCTCCTTTTTGTAGTTATTCCTAGGTTTATGATGATAAGGTTTGTTTGCTTTTTATTTAGCAAAATCATCTTCAATCCTAGTAGCCACATAATAGACCTTTTGAAAAGTGTCTAAACAAGGTAACGTAGATGCTTGTTGTACTTTTCATGAAAATTGTCAATGAACTTTTGTACTAACTCGAGTTTAGGTGGCCTTTGGGCAAGGTGAGCCGCCTTTTCTTGCCATCTACCATAGAAAGCAAGGAAACCTTCATCGTCGCCTTGCTTAAGCATTTCAAGTTCAAGTAAAGTCGATTTGAACTCTACGTTACTCTCATATTGGGTAATGAAAGCCGAAACTACATCTTCCCATGTTGCTTTGAATTTTGGATCTAACCCATAATACCACTCTCTCACGGTTGGGTCTAGAGATAAAGGGAAAGTTAAAGCATAAAGCTAAGATCAACTCCCTTTAATGCCATGGTGCCAGTAAAACAATGACGCAAGATATATTCGAACGGATAACATCACCCTTAAACAATTCTCCAATGAAGATATTGTTTGGGCGAGTCAATTTGTTTTTTGAGAAATCACATCGACTCGTAACAGTGGGCGCGCGCATCAGAATCACTTGCACTGGTAGGGGTCGCGCAACTCATTGAGTTATGCGCGCCACCTGCTCGTAAATTTTTTTTTTAATTCGAGCGCTTTTTTTTCGTCATCGTTTTTTTTATGTTACCCTTCTAATACGACTAAAAATTACGAAGGGACAACTTCGTAATTGGGAACCTAGACAAAACTAAAAAAGAAAAAAGAAGGTTATCCTAAAACGTTTCACATAGTCACATAATCACATAAAGCATGTCATAAGCCAAGATTCACGCAATGTCATTCTAAGGTCAAAAGGCTTAGGTGTCCAAAGGTACCATATCTTAAGAAACGACGCATAAATAAATCACTCAACATGTTGACTCATGACATCGCTCTCCCAAAATTTTGTTGGCGATATGGTTGGGATGATTGTTATTGATTTCGGGATAGAAGCCTAGTGTTGGAAACCCCTAATCAATGAGCCAATCCCTAAAGGTTGAAGTGTGCTATGATTATGCATGATGCAATGTTGCTTGTTTGGTTTTTACTTTCGTGCAAAGGAAGATATTATGCGTTCAAGTCTCGCTCTCTAACTATATATTATCCAAGTTAATTCTCGTTACAACCCATAGGCAACCAGTGATGGAAAACTTGGACCATAACTAAGAACTAATCATGCACTACAAAATAAAGTCAATATAGCATCAACTAAAATTTGTTGCTATTCACCAAAAATTTGTTGCCAACTCTATTTAGCAACGGGTTAGAAACGAAAATTTGTCGTTTCTAAAAGGCTTGTTGCCATGGGATTTCGGCTACCAGTTACAAAGCAATTTTGTTGCAATATTGCATCCATTTAAATATAGTTTCCATGATGGTTGCTGTTTTTGGTGCATTCGTTGCCAAAAATTACTATTGGTCGTTGGTAAAATTAGCAACAAATTAGTAATGTTAGTTCCTAAAATAGCAACAAATTATTAATGTTGGTTCCTAAAAATAGCAACAAATTATTAAATTTGGTTCATAAAAATAGCAACAAATCATAAATATTTGCTGATATCAACACTACAAGACAAATACCCAATCCCTATTAGCAATTCGGTTCAACCCGATTTCGGCCTTTACAATCTGAAATCTCATTCAAGTCAGGTCAACTCGGATCGACTTTGAATGTACGGCTCTTTGAATCCCCAGTCTCAAGAATCGCAGTTGGTAGGAAAAGAATCACAGTTTGTAGAAGTCGAACTTGTGACCTCAATGTCATAGGGTGAAACTCTTACGAACTATACCAAGTACTATTTGTTTACTTCTATGCATATAATTTATAATAAGTGAACTAAATAATAGAGACGAAATTGAAAAATTTGTCTCTAAATTAGGGACAAAATAAAAAATTTGTCTCTAAATTAGAGACAAAATAGAAATTGTCTCTATTTGATGTCATTATAGCAACAAATCCTCACCCCTTAAAAGGTTTGAGTCATGCCCCTTATGAACAGTATCCACACATGGGAATGACATGTGTGAAAGCATGTGCAGCTCACATGCATAAATTAGCTACAGTATTTTGCTTTGTTATTTGCTGATGTGGCAAAATATTTCTATCTTCTTTCTTCTTTCTCTGTCTCTGATGAGTTGCTTTTTGGTTGAAAATTTACCTAGTGTATATTGCTTTCAAGATAATAGCAAGATCTTCTGCACCTCGATTGCATCAAATTTTCCAACATTGGAATCTTCATTTCACTTCCCTACTTTCTCCTCCTCCATACGCCCCTTTTCTCTCTTTTCTTCCCTTTTCACTTTCTCTACAACCATCAACAATGATCCGGCGACGGTGATTGGGTCATCGGAACCCTAATTGTTTCCATTTACAATGAGCCTTCCATCCACGGTAACCACTCAGCACTATCAAACTCCGAGAGACCGAGGAACGGAAGGACAAATAGCCTCTAAACGAGGATATAGAAAACAGATCTAGAAAGAAGGTGAAGGTGGAGTCATCTGTCAAAGATTATTGTGTTTTACATGTCATTTACCAGTTTTTATAGGGGGTTCGATTGATTGAGTGCTAGATGTTAATTTTGCAAATATGTGCTAAATTTGTTAATTTATTTTGATAGAATTAAACTGCTAAATTACTAATAGTCCAAATTTTGTATTGTGCTTTTAGACGATTTTAATTTATTTTGTATTTTTATCTTCTCTTCCGCTCTTCTTATCAGCAACTCAAACCAACTCGCAAAACGAATCTGGCCATTATATTGAATGAGGTGATAAGGTTCATCATCTTCTTCTTCTTTATTTTCTTTGAGGTGTTTTGAATTCCTATCTGTTGTGGTAGTTTTGATTGCATTTTGTGTGTGTGTGTGTGGGTGGGTTTAATTCTTATATTGGGAATTTTTTGTTAGAGTTCTTCTAAAATCCGAGTTGACTAAGGGATTGCAGTGCGCTTGGTGGGTGGTACTATACTGAGCTACGTGTTCGCGTTGTGACTGCCGCTAACACACCTAATGGCATTAGGGTACTAGAATTGATTATCCAAAATGTAACAATCGAGATTCTAAGATATGTGTCTGATGACTTTCTTAGTTTCTTCATCTACTCTCATTGATTATCCAAAATTAGTTCTTGATTGCAATGCATTTTTTATGCTGGTATCTCTTTATTATACTGATGATTGATTGCATTTTATTTTATGGCTGTCTAATATTTGTATGTTTTTATCCCAAGCAGATCTGATACTCCCAGCAGCAAGTCTGCTACATTTATACCTAGAGTTTTCATATTAGGCAAGGCAAGATCACTTAAATCAGATGCCGCTTCACGTTCTCCTGATTTTCCACTCGATTATCAGCACCGAAAGTATGTTTACCTGATTCCTTGATGTCTCATTTTGAATTATGATTTTTGACTTTTTGGTATACTAAGATATCAGATATGCCTGGTATAATTTTTAGAACTCATCTGTATGTTAAAAATAGTAGCAAGTGATAATTTTGTGAGTGAATATTGAATTTGATTGGTTGAAGGGTAAGCGTTAAGGTGTTAATGTATTTTTTGTTGAACATATAGGTGTATTTTAGGAAAAAATATAAAAACAAAAAAATTAAAGAAATGGAGAGAAGATGAGGCCTTAGAGAAAAAGGATCATACAACTATGGTGTAATACTTTGCAAATCATCTTCACAAGTGTGAAAGATCTCTATTCATGACAAGTGTGGACTTTATAAGTCCGTTCATTAAGAGTACAATAAGTTGTGATAAATGCTCAGGGTGATTAGGCTTGGATTATTTACAATGTTTATATGCGCATTCAAATATTAAAGGCAAGGACTCAGAGCTTTTATGCAATCTGTTGGTTGTCTGATTGCTTGAATTTGGATATAGGTCTGGAATTGTATATATTTATTTCCAATAAATTCTTGTCTTATGGAAATCCTTATGGAAGCTGTATACACCTACTTTTGGCCTCTTGTCCCGAAAGGAAGTGCGATGATGTTACAAAAATTCATTCTTCATGTTAGATCAAAGTTGAAGTGTTTATGGACTACGAAAAGCATTATGAAGTATGTTAAAACCCATATTTGAGACCAAGTTATCTTAGAGCCTTGTCCAATTACTAATTAGGCCAAAAATGTGTTCATACATGTTTAAAAACTTGATTATTAACAGACCCAAATGCGTCAAATGCAATGATTGGATCCAATGGAACCTACATTGTTGAAAATCGAGCCAAATAGATAAATCAACCATCCAATTCCCGTAGTATGCCTATATAGACGGATAACCCTTTCAAAGATCTTTCCAACGATATATTAGAAGCCCCATTCCGAGCCAAAACGAATAAGTTATGATCAAGACACTAAACTAGGCCCTAAAACCAACACCTTTGCACTCCGACGGCCATAACTTTTGATCCATAAAATATATTAACCTAATTACAATAACATTGGAAAGTAGACATTCAGAGCTTTCCAATGATATCTTACACGCCTTAATCCGACTCCTTAATCAAAAGTTATAAAAGATTTAAAAACGCGCTTTTGTATAAGGCAAACCGCAAACCAGCGCAACTTAGTCAGTTGCACACGCATGGCGTGCGCGACTCATTGAGATGCACGCGGAACCCATCGCGACTCAAAGAGTTGCGCGCACCACCTGACGACGCGGCTCTAAAATCCTAAACCTAGATCCCTATGCCTATAAATAGGGGTCTTCGTTCAGCATTACAAGGACCGAAAAAAAAAATCAGAATTAAAACCTATCATACTACTTTTCCCTCTTTCTTCCCAACTACTTTTCAACCCTAATCCATCCATTGAAGATCTTGAAGGTACAAAGAAGAAATAATGTCCATAAACACATTAAACGGAGATTTAACATAAAAGAAGAACGGTAAGTTTCCTGAGCACTTAGATAAATCACTATTCCTTTATTGTTTAAATAACTTTAATTGAATATAGAGTGTTGTTTGATCACTTTAAACAAACTTTTAATTAATTAATTCACATAGTACTCTTTCGTTAATCAAGACTAGAATTTGAATAATTAATTGTTGTTTTATCTTTTAAGACAAGGCGAATATTATATATTTATTGTTCTTTCACGAATATTGATGAAAAAAAGAATAACGACTTTTGGAATGTAATTCCAACATGATTAATGCGTGTAAATAAAATCAACTTACTTAGTTTTCAGTATCGCGTTGCATATATTGTTTGGTAATGAAATTGTGAAAAAGGAAGAGCTACAAGAGGCCGTACTAGGGCTAAGATAGAGATTTTCCTCTAAAGGGAACGTTATCTTAGTACCCTCGCTCTTGAACTCAATTCTGGTTTATGTAGACCAATTTGGGCATGGGTAAACTTATGATTCGTGCTAATTATCCCTCGAACTCTACTTGGGAGAAAGACATAAATGAGGTTTATGAGTTTTCCTAAAACTCATCGGCGACTCCTACTTGTTTGTTACAAAAAAGCGTGATGAGAGTATCGTTTCTAATTCAAGGTCTCCCAAACAGTCAGGAATTTAAATCCTAAAACACCCTAACAAGTGTAAAGTCCTAGGCTTTTAAAGGGCCATAGGCATTTAAGGAGAGGACCCCTTACGATGGGAACACCCTCCTTACAGCAGCTGTGCACCTTGCTCATGAGATCACTCCATCTTGGTCTCCTTATCCTTTAACCACTAACATAAAACCTGCTCTATGGATGGTCGCTACATTATCCTTCCCCCCCCCCCCCCCCCCCCAAATTCACCCTTTTTCATTTTTGTGTGTGTGTGTGTGTGTTGCATTTCTATATACTGATCTCCTCATGGCTCATACTATACAAAATCACTATGCTTTTATACTAAATTGGCAATGCTTGAATTCTTACAATGGAATCTTGTATTATATTGTCTGCCCATTTAGAGAATGATAAGAGGTTCACTCACTTGCATTGTTTGGATTTCTTTCTTTTGAGAATAAAGGCATTAAGGCCTATATTATAGCTTTTTGCAAAATTGTAATCATTAAATTTCTTCAAATGCATTGTCATATAATACATCTCTTATACTGTTTCCTTATGAATGTTCAATATCTTGGGCTTTGTGCAGGGGTGGCTGCAAATCCAATTGCTGCAAAGAATATTGACTCATCGGTTTGGTGCCTCCGAAGATCTTGGCTGTAACACCCCCGATTTTACTAACTGAAAATAAATAAGAATTAAAGGAAAAATAAACAACCTTTAAATAAAATTGCAGAAGCATACACCTAAATCGCGGGTATCACCGCCACACTCAACAACCTGTCGAGTGTTAAGGCTTACAAAACCCAACTGTACAACTCAATAAATCTAGGTGAGCTATTTATACAACTTTATAAACTCGTTATAGCATATTAATCGATCACTTGAGCTCCTTTAGCTACGATCACTTGATCAACCTGCTTAAATAATCTTGAATGCTCACCATTAAGGAGAAATTCCAAAATAGATCGTCGCAGGGCCACCATAAGAAAAAGAAATGGCCGCAAACACAAGTAGCACAACAAAATAACACACACGTCAGCAAAAGCTGAGTAATCACCACATATCAGAATACAGAGTATAATAGGATAATTAACATTACTAGCTCAATTAAATAATGTAGTTCAAAACTACATAACACATTGTACTCTGAATAACCTTTATCAACTCAACTTAAAATAATAATACAATCCTTCACTCAATTAACTCATAACTAATAGTGTGCCATGCTCTTTGTTCTATACCTAGCCTTGGACGTGGGTAATTCGAATAAAACCAACAAGTATAAAAACTTGAATACTCCCAATAACTAGAAAACACCTTGAACCAGACCACATACGGGTCAATTCCCACTGTAGGGGACCATAGAAAAATAAATATTAAAGATTGTACCTCATTCTTAACTCATGATTACCATCTCCTTACCAACATGCCAAGGACTAAGGTTTATTACGCCGAGCCTCAAACCAAGAATAAAATACTAATTCTCAACCTTTTGATCTCGTACATCGATCAAATAACCATTCACATATTATTTATAATATCTCAATATTGGCACATGTTCCCAAATAACATAACAATTCGATTAAAAAACATATCAACTCTTATAGGACAATTATACTAGTAACCCAAATGTAATTAACTCATAACCCAAAAATTATACTCTGCATTAACAACCCTAAAACCTCGATAAAACAATACTCCCTATAGAAACAACATTAAAAACCCTAGGACCAATGAGAAGAGGCCACGTGTCGAGTTCAGGAAGGCCCACGTGGTTTTATATCCTCTTGACACATGGCCCCCTTGGATACATCTCTTAAATGGCGGCCTTCAAGGGCCCAAATCCCTAGAAGCGCCGTAAAACGGCGCAGCCCATTAAAATCTAGGTCAAGTGACCTAGATGGGGGCACATTCTCCAACGACCCTATAAATAGGGAGATATTTCCTCATCTTGGGGGACACATTCAATCATTTATTACACCTACATTCTCTCTCATCAGAGAAACACCTGAGCTTGGAATTCAAGCAGATCCCCACCTAAATTTATGTACTCTTTATTTCCTTTCAAGTTACTAACTTGACCTTCGGAGGTGGAGCTCCAACCACCCGGAGTCTCTGTTGTTTTGCAGGTACAACTCAGCCGGACCGGACTTCATGTCGTAACTCTCCCGAGGGACAAAAACACCCAAAACATTTGGCGCCGTCTGTGCGGAGAGTACCTGGTTCAAGAGTCTGTACCACTCCCTAAGCATCTGGGCGATGACCCAGAAGTTTTTACAGACCAGGAGGATGAAGATCCTCAAGTTGAAGCTTATACAGCCGATGATGGCTCTCTAATAACTAAGCGCATCCGGCACATAGACACTCCAAAGCAGGGTGCCACCTAGGCAAGTACAAATCGACCCCCTGGGCAGCCGGAAGGGGAAACCCACACGGAAGCTGGATCAACTCCTGTCACCCGAGACGAACTCATGAGGTTCATGACAAGTTTTCAAGGGTGAAATCAAAGATCTTATCACTAAGAGCCGGGCTGGCCCAAGTAGGGGTCAGCCGGCCAAGAACACTCCTCTGGAAAAGGGGAAGTCAGTCAGAGATCGACAACCAACTCCTCATCCAAAGGACAAGGCAGCTAGGACCATTGATTTGTCAAAAAAATTTCTTCCTAAGAGGAATACCAAGAACACCCGCCTGACTCAACAGCCGGTGGGAAGCAAAAATCAACTCTTGATGCCCGGGAGAACATTAACCGGAAGAGAAATCAACAGTTGTATGAGTCGGCTTCTACGTCAACAATACTTCTGTAGGGAATGAACTTTCCTCGCATGAGAGTCAGACAGGCGGTAATACCGTCCACTCTGGCCCTCAGATGATCGGACTTCACCGTATGTACCTTCTCAGGTCTACGGCCAGTATCCACCTTACTATATGCAGCAGGCCTTCTTCGGAGGTCAGGCTGCATATCACAATGTCCAGCCACTAGACTGGCAGCTCCGTCTGCTTTGCCTAGGTAAACAACCTTCTGCGTTCACCCGGGAGATAACCGAGGCGGCAAAGCCGGCCAAGGTTAAAAATGTATTAGTAGGTACCTATGACGGTACCACCAACCCGGAAGATCACCTCATGGCTTACACCAACCTCATGTACTTACAAGGGTTGGATGATGCAACTTGGTGTCGATGCTTTCTGGCTACGTTGAAGGGCATTGCCGAACAATGGTTTGGCAATTTGCCAGCCGGGTCCATTGATAGTTTCAGGAAGCTTGCCTTCCTGTTTGCTTCCAACTTCTCAATGAACATCCCTGCTAAGAAAACAAGCCTGGACTTAAGCACCATTAAGCAAGGGGAGAGAGAAGGGTTGCGCTCCTATGTCAGGCGGTTCAATCTGATTAGAATTCAGATTCAAGAACTGTCTGATGAGGTAGCATTTACAGACTTTTTCAAGGGTCTGATAGACGGGTCGAATTTTAAGTTCGACCTAGTCAGAAAAGGGGCTTTTAGTTTACAGGCGGCCCTGAGGGAGGCGGAAAACTATATTCAAGCAACCGACCTCTGTACGCTTGGTAATCAGTCGGACTCCAAGAAGTCTGACAAACAAAAATACAGCCGGCCTGCTCAGCCGGCCAAAAAGAAAGAAGAGAGTAAGAAAAGAAAAGAAGTCTGGGCGGTTAGTGACTCTAATCAGCCGTCCTAGAAGAAGAAGAAAGAATTTAAAGCGTACGTCCCTAAGCACGAGTTTAACAAGGACTGCAACTCCATCCTCATGGAAATTAAGGACCGGTTGTCCCTAGAGAAGCCGAATCCAATGAAAAGTTCCATTCAATCAAGGAACAAAAATAAATTCTGCCAATATCATGAGGAAGTTGGCCATGACACTAATGAATGCTTCAGCCTTCAACGAGCGTTGGACCGTCTGCCTGACAAGGGGATGTTAAAGTCCTACATTTCTAAGTCCAAAGGGACTAATAAGAAGAATCCGGGGCAATCGTCTACCCCCCAGCCTGCTAGTAGTTTGGACACTAACAAGGAGCCAGTCTACACAATAGCAGGCGGGTTCTCATGCGGTGGCCCTACCATCCGGGGCACCAAGAGCCATCTGCGAAAGATGAACAAAGATGATGATCAGCATGCGTCTGCAAGCTCATCAGACATCATCAGCCTCCGGTGCCTGCAAAAGATGAAATACAATGACAACAACATGCATCCGGTTACCCACACCTTGGTTGGTTTTGGGGGTGGAACAGTTTACCTAGTCGGAAGGGTTGATTTACCAATCCGGCTGGGTGAGAAAGGTAAAGGGCGACACCTGGTCGTCAAGTTCTTGGTCGTTGAGAAGTTGACCGCCTACAACATTATTTTGGGTCGGCCAACCCTCAACGAAGCCAAGGCTGTAATCATCGCTTCCCTCATGCTCATAAAGTATGAGAGGGATGACGGCTCTATTGGTTCCTTGAGTGGGGATTAAAAGACGGCTCAGGATTGCTATCTCTCAGTCGTCAAAGATAATGTGGCCCCAGCCGTCCAGGAACCAATAGACCTTGACAATGTCAAGGATGCCGACCCAATACCAGCCACACCAGCAGCCGGGAAGAAAAGAAAGGCACCTCTGCTGGTGGAGGTAAAGAAACAGAAAAAATAGCAATCGCTGACCGGTGAACGGTCAGATGAGCTCCGTCCCCAACCGGCTGGAGAGCATGTTGATATAACTCTGGACAACAGCCGTCCGAGCGTACTGTGAAGGTTGGGACGGTTGATTATGCTAAGTTGGGTGCATACTCGCACCTACTGCTGAAAGAATTCAAATACATTTTTTCCTTTGAAGTGGAAGAGATGTCAGGCGTCAGCCCGAATCTTGCTATCGACAAACTCGCCGTGGACCCTAAAAAGAAGCCCAGCCAGCAAAAGAAAAGAAATCACGGTGAGCAAAGAAGTCAGGCGGCAGCTGCCGAAGTTAAAAAGTTGTTAGACGCTGGGTTCATTCGGTCATGTAATTTCCACAACTGGGTGGCGAATGTTGTGCTTGTAAAGAAGCTGAATGGTACCTGGCGTATGTGTGTTGATTACACAGACCTCAACAAGGCATGTCCTAAAGATAATTATCCACTTCCTAAGATCGACAATCTGGTCGATTCGACAGCCGGGCATGCCTTGATGAGTTTTATGGATGCCTACTCCGGCTTCCATCAGATACCCCTGTGGAAGAAAGATCAAGAAAAGATGGCCTTCGTCACTCATCTGGGGTTATTCTGTTACACTGTGATGCTGTTTGGCTTGAAAAATGCGCCGGCTACAGATGATTAATACGGTATTTATTAATCAAATTGGGAGGAATGTAGAGGCGTACATTGATGACATGATAGTCAAATCCAAGCAGCAGACGGATCACCTTGCTGATCTACGAGAAACCTTCACCACACTCAGGCGGCATAAGGTTATGTTAAATCCTAAGAAATGCGTCTTTGGTGTTGAGTCTGGGAAGTTTCTCGGTTTTCTGATTGATCAAAGGAGGATAGAGGCTAACCCCGAGAAGGTACGGGCTGTAATTGACATGAAGTCACCTCGCACTGTTAAGGAAGCACAAAGACTAACCGGTTGCCTAGCGGTATTGGGGAGGTTCCTCAGTCGGTCAGGTGACAAATGCCTTTACTTCTTCCAAGCAATCAGGAAGAAGATGAGATTTGAGTGGGGGGGATGATGCTGAGGCGACTTTTCAACGGATGAAAGAACACTTGCACTCTTTGCCAAGGCTTGTTAGTCCACTTCCTAAAGAGGTGTTATACATGTACCTAGCCGTTTCAGATCATGCCCTCAGTGTTGTTCTCCTTGCTGAGAGAGACGGCGTTCAGCTCCCAGTCTATTTCATCAGCCATGTTCTAAAAAATGCTGAGCTCCGGTACCCCATGGTAGAAAAATTTGGCCTTGCCTTGTATATGGCTTTCAAGAAATTGAAACCGTATTTTCTGGCCCATCCGGTGGTAATTTGGCCTTGCCCTGTATATGGCTTTCAAGCGGCCAATGTCTACCTTGGAATCATCCGCCAGAATGTTGAAATGGGCTATTGAAATGCAAAGTCTTGAAATCACTTTTGTACCTAGAAAGGCAGTGAAAGGCCAAGCGTTTGCCGACTTCATTGTTGAAATGACACGACCGGTGCAACCGGATAACATTGACCAGGTTTGGAAAGTGTATGTAGACGGGAGCTCAACAAAGAACGGCTGCGGTGCAGGAATTATATATGAATCCCCTAAGGGGGACAGATTTGAATATGCACTGCGGTTTAAGTTTCAGGCCTCAAATAAC